GAGTGAAGCATCTCCAAGCCAAGGAATGTCAATGATGGCCAGAAGCCACCAGATTCTGACACAGCCAGAGCCAGCAGGCCTGCCAAGGCTTTGATGTCAGATTCTCGTCCTCCTGGACTGTCAACAAATACTTTCTGTTGTTTTCAGGAAGAACATGTTTCATTGTTTTATCTTTCTTTTCCCCTGCAGTCTGCATGAGGAATAAGAGGAAAGTGGCCTCCTTGGACTCTTACTATGAATATGTTTACAAGGAAGCTGAAAGTTGCTGGGGAGATGATGACTGGATTTCTGTCTATAGTAAAGATCAATATACTTCCAAAAATGGAAGACCTTGGCCATATCTGCCTCTCCTCTAACTTCTTCAGCAGCATCTCAGATTGGTGAATGCTTCTGGCTAATGGCCATAGCACCCTTCCAAGCCTCATTTGCTCTCCTAACAGGAGAGAGATATAAAGTGGGTAAGTGATGCTGGAGGGGGATGCAGGGTAAGAAAGATGCCATGGGAGCAGGAATACAGGGAAATAGATGCAGGAAGGAGGGATACAGGAAGAGAGAGATGCCGTAGGAGCAGGGGTGTGGGAGGAACTGAGATGTTCTTGGACCACTGAGCTTTCTGCTTTGGTTAGGCTTAATTTGGAGCCCATCTCACAAGAACCAAATTATGCTTTTAAGTCACCTAATAATATGTAACTTCCTTGATAGCAATTGACTCCTCAAATATGCGTTTGGTTTTTAAACAAATGTTTAGCCGTTGTGATGTTTAGAAATTTAGATGAAAATATTCAAATGAGTTCTAAGAATATTCAATTCTCCCTCTGCCTTTGTTTGAACCACTTCTTTTCTTTCCTTTTTCTTTTTCTTTTGGTTTTGATACACTCACACACAGTTAACCTGTGTGTGAGTATATCAAAGTCACAGTGGGACACAAGTGACACATGAAAATTAGGCTAACCTGTGAACTTGTGGAGGAAGAAGAAAGCATGTACAGCTGGGACTCACTACAACAGGGCCATTGCTGCCCTGGAACCTAGGACAGATGCAATGTAAAACAGGGATTTATCTTCAAACAGATATTGGGATTCTGCAGTGTCATAGAATAGCCCATGTTGGGTGCATAGAATAGTGTAAAATCCACTCTCCCTCCTCCACTGGGTTTTGGAAGACAGGTGGGAGACACAACCCTTGAACAAACAAGAGCACAAGAAAGTATCAGAGGCAGGAAAACCAAATTGGCTGTGAGGGATTCCACAACTTCCTGCCTCTGCCCCACTGGGAAAGGCTTTCAGGAGAAAGTGCTGCTTGGGCTGAGGCTGCTAAATGCATGCAGGGGAGTTTCCACCTGCAGGAAAGGTAGGCAGGGAGGACCCTGTGAGACAGTAGGAAGGGAGCACCGGAAGACAGGGAGCAAAGGACTAGAAGTATCAGCTGCTTCAGGAGAAGGTCAGGAAGACCAGAGTTCACCTAACTGGAAGGAGGGGCGTGGTCCCAGTCTGTGGAGTGACCAAAGCATGTCTGTTCTCACTTTCAGAGATGGGGATTTGGAACCAGATTGCCACCAGGATCTCACTCTGAACTCTTCTCATCTCTCCTGTATCTGTAATCATTGTGGAGAGAATTTACAGGACTCACTCAGAGCATGGGGCAGAAGACAGGCACGTTTACTATGATGGGAAGTAGAAGGCTCTTGGGGGGGGGGAGGTAAGGAGAGTAGACAAGGGTCAAAGAGACTGTCATGTCCATTTACACTTCGGTAAGCTTTGTGACACTTCTGAACCTTCTCCCTGCCCAGAGACTGGCAGGCCCATTTGGACAACTCACACAGGAGGAGAAATGGCATGTCCTTATTCTTTATTGGAAAGCTTCCAGCCAGCCAGTCAGTCACCTCATCAAGTTTAGATAGTTATCTGTTAATGACCTTGGGGATAGGAATGCCTGTGGCCACTGGGGACCAGAAGCTCACATCTCTTTCTTCTGACCACTAATCAAAGTCCTGTTTTTACAAGCTTTGTTTGTGAGGGAGGAGCTTGTTACCAAAGATGTTCAAATCAGCTAATGTCTAGCTAACTACTAACAAGATGATGGAAAGGATTGCAGGATTTTCGAGGGGATGCCAACTTCTGCCTGCATTGTTTTCATGTGTGTGTGTGTGTGTGTGTGTGTGTGTGTGTGTGTGTGTGTGTGTATTCTCCCCTCTTGGTCTCTGTGTGGATGTGTCTCTTTGTCTCTCTGTCTGTGTGTGTGTATGTGTCCACATGTTCCTCTCTGTCTCTCTGTATGTGTTCCTCCTTCTGTGTTCCTTTTTGTGTTTCTGTCTGTCTGTCTCTGTCTCTGTCTCTGTCTCTGTCTGTCTCTCTGTCTGTGTGTGTGTGTGTGTGTGTCTCTCTCTGTGTCTCTGTCTCTGTCTCTGTCTCTGTCTCTCTGTGTGTGTGTGTGTGTGTGTGTGTGTGTGTGTGTGTGTGTATGTGTGTGTGTCCCAGTGTTCTTGTATGTGAATATGTGTGGAAGCCAGAGGGTAGCCTTTGGCATCATTCCCCAGGTACCATCTGCCTTATGAATTTGATGCAGGACTCTCATTAGCCTGGAGCTCACTGAGTAGGCTAAGCTGGCTGGCCAGTGAGCTGTTGAGGTGAACCTTTCTTTTCCTTTCAAGCCCTAAGATTACAAAGAAACATCACCATGCTTGGTTTTTTTGTTTTTTTGTTTTGTTTTTTAAGGTGAGTCCTGTCGCTTGAACTCAGATCCCCAGGCTTGCACAGCCAGCACCTTCCCACCCAAGTCATCTCCTCTGCCCATCAAAAGATGGTTAAAGATGAAGGTGGTTATTCCATTTCCCAAACCTGATTTCACACACACTCAACCAATGTTTTCCGCATTTGCTGTTCTGGATCCCACTAGACAGGCATTTCAGAAGTTGGATTTACTCACAAAAACTGAGGGAGGGGTCGCAGAGTTAAATTTGGGATGAAGTGATAGTTGCTTTCCCTCCATAAATCTGTTTTTTTTCTGATTGCCATCTGCCAGGGCATGTGAAATAAAAAGATGCAATTGCTTAGAACAACACAACATCAGTACACAGCAAACATTGCTTCTGGTTTGTCTGTGTTCAAGGAATGAGCTATGAAACCAGCCTGCCTGGATATCAGGCTGCACGACTTCCTAGCTGTGTGTCCTTAGGCAAGCTGCTTGGTCCCTCTGTGTCCCACTTTGATATGTAAAGAAAGAATATAAGATAGTACCTAATTTGTATCTTTGTTGTGGTTTGCGGCATGAAATGGGAATCCAGAATAAGCATGTCAAAGGCTTCCCAGGCACGGAACTAAACACTCAGCAAATGTCACTATTTTTAAATTACACACAAATATCATGGAGCATGTAAGAGGGGGTTTCCCCCCTAAGTTTGAAATGATTTGCTCTTTAAAGCAATCCCATATCTTGGTTCATAACAGTGGCTGTGGTTTATGGGTTCATAATAATTATGTAACGCCAACATGATTCTGAAGGAAATGCCTCTTGCACGGACTCTTGGTTGGGCTTATTACACAGAATAATAAGAACCTGTCTCATTAATATTAAACTGCTTTCTGATACAGTCAGGGTAATGTACTTTCGAAATCGTTTAAAGCTAACAACACAAAAGCCCATCCTGTGTAATTGTCTTTGTTTTCCAGATCATTAGAAGCGTGACTAAACATATGTGAGGTGCGTCTACCAGCATTCTTTTTGTTCCTTCCTCTTGCCCTTCTCTCAAAACTCTCAGAGAGTTGCTGCTTCTCCTCTGCTCTTCCCTACTCCCCCTCCTGTCCCCATAACGGGACATGCCCACCACAGGTGTTCAAACTTTTGCATGCATTTATCATTGAAGCTCTGGGAGGTTAGAAGATACCCTTTAGCTTGGCAGACAGGATGCTTGTTATCTTCCTGCAAGCTGCACAACAAGGTCCTCAACTACTAGTTTCACAAATCATTTTCCAAACAGCCCCTGACAGACACAAATCAAAGAACAAGTTACCACAGAACCGATTAAGATCACAAGAGGCGACAGCAGCCCTATTGTTTCCTCTGTAATGTATCCTCCCAAAGCCTGCGCTGCTGCTGTGCATGGCTGATGATTCCCATCCTTGTTGATGGGATTATTTTTAGAAAGTGATGCTTTCCCATTTATAAAGCTCAGAGAGAGGCGACATGGTGTAGGCGGTTGTTCTCAGCCCTGCTGCACAGCATCACCTGTGTGGAGATTTCAATACTGCAGATGCTGTCTGACCGCACTCCAGACAGATGGTCCTGACAGGAATTGTCCATGTGGATGGCTGGGGGAGTTTCTGCAAGCTGGGCTGTGTCAGGAAGCTCCACCCAAAAACCAACTGCATCAGAACCTCTGTGAACAGGGGCAGAGAGAGGCACTGATTGCTTAATTGCCTGTCCAGGAGACTAACACATCGTCAGGCCCGAGAAACCTTGCACTAAATAGACTGAAGTCATTTACTTGTTTCACAAATACTGGCAACTACTCTATGCAGGGCCTGGTCCACAGCAGAGCAGGTAATACAAGGAACACTTTATGATCCTTGGAACTTGGAAACCTGAATCAAAGTCTTCAAGGGTAAATCACAGCATTAGAAAGGTTTTTTATTGTCCTGTGCTGAGTCAAGATCTCATTATATAGCCCTCAGTGGCCTGGAACTTGATATGTAGACCAGGATACCTCAAACTCATGTTGAGCCTCCTCCAAATGCCTCGAGTGCTGGGACTCCAGGCATGCAAGCATGCACCTTCATAGCTGACTGACATTGGAAGTGTGTGTGTGTGTGTGTGTGTGTGTGTGTGTGTGTGTGTGTGTGTGTGTGT